TAACACTATAAATGATTTATTCAATGTCGATCACACAAGACCTGGTTTAAGTACGACCAGATTTTTCCAAGCAGTTATTGTCGAGAATTTTTTTACCAAATTAATTTCGTCCGCACCCGGTTTGATAAAAAATTTTAGTAACAATATACAGCAAGAAGAGAACGCTCTACTTGGCCCGGCAGGGATTCGAACTCACGAGGGCCTTTAGCCCGCGTGCAGAGGGCCTTCGGTTTACCAGTCCGATGCTCTACCGACCGGAGCTACATCATGCAATTCAAGTTGGGAGCTAGCTGGTCGTAGAATGATGGTGATTTCAAAGGTTCGTCGAAACAATAATTAGTGTTATCTGGCTTCGACAAGGCAAGCAGGTTGACTAGGTTGTAATCTCGAATAGTGTACCGAAATTTTTCGAAGAAAATCTTGTTACTACATTTTTTCCAAAATTGACAAAATTTTACCAAAAGTAAAATATTCTACCAATCTACCATGACTGCGTCATGGTTGTCCAATAGACCTTGCCTTGCTTATGGCGCAATCGTTTCGTACTGCAGTCATTTCAGTTCGCACTCAACTGCCAAGTTTCAGAGTGCCCCTAGTTTTTAATGCTTGACACGAGAGTATTTGTGCTTTTCAGGAAATGTTACCGCGATGGTGATTGCTTTCAGAACCAACGACGAGCAACAGTCAACCGACCAGACAGCTTCAAGCAAGTGATGGCATAATCTCCTCTTATGACAAAGTTTTACCTTCTCAGCAATGTCACATCTTCATTGCTTTTATATTTTGTATATAATTTCACTATAAACCTAACGAGTGGCCAAGTCAGAAATGGTGACATTTCAGAATTTCTGCCAATCGATCAGAAAACCCGTCTGCTAGGATAATCATATTATTGTCATGCAATAGACTCTTCCGGGAAACAAGCGAAAGGGCTTTAAAGCTTAGCCCTTGGCTATATAGGCCGTTTCCGTGACTGAGATATCGGCTTTAAAGCCCTTTGTCGGTTAGCCGAGTTTGTCGGTTAACCGAGTCAAATCCGAGCCGGAGTCAAATCCGAGCCGGAGTCAAATGTCCGAGTCATAGTTTAATCGATGGTCTTTGCAGTTCAATGACTTAGTACCCTAATCCTAACCATAATCCCACTCCTAACTTACCCTAACCCTATTCAACTGTGAATTTTATGTATTACCGTGGTATTACATACTTTACTGTGTATTACATACTTGAAACTTTGTTTAAGAAATACTCTTCTCAGTTTTGCAAGGGCTAAATCAGAATGGCCATTTCTGAGCTCATAGTTAGGTTGCACAGCATTTACCCTTATTATAATGTTTCTTTTAAAGTTCGGTCCGCTGTGATTATTCAGGGCTTTGTACAACGATGTTGATTTCAGTGGTTGTACGTCGTCTTGTCACTAGATTATCCCAAGCAAGGGACAAGTGTCTATAACAAGATAAACGACTTTGAACCCAATATCTCAAATCATGAAAAAATTGCTCTAATTTCGTGTATTTGAACTTGTCTGCATCGTCTTCCGGCCTCTTTAAGACTGATGATTGTTGCATTCAACAGGAAGTTTATCAATTTATACAGGAAGTCAAATCTTCAAATAACTTTAAATGAATTGGTTCATGCGAGCAAATGAATTGGTAGAATAGTTTAGGAACACGAAAACATTGCCACGACTCGGTAATATTTCATAACATATGTAACTCGTGGAATATGTAATAAAACAGCTTTATTTTATATACCGTTTACAGTCATATTTATTTACAAAAGAATAAATCAGATCTAATTTCGTGACTTTAAAATATTGCAATTGCTGTTATGCGTGAATAACTAATCTGATGTTTCAATATTAGACCTTTTCAAATTCAAACAACACAACACCACAGGGGAAGCATTGGGCATTGTTTTAACTTAGTCGAAACGAAACTAATTGGCAAATTGCAGTAAAGTCACGCAGTTGAATAAAGCTTCGAGCCTTCGACATTCGAAAAAGGCTTTATAGTCTTGTATGTCAACAAATATCGGTCCAAATATGTCTCGTTTACAGTTCCTACTGTTCGTTATACTTTTGAATGTTTTATCAACGTCACAGGAACGAGTGTGTAGGTACAGGGATTCTAGAGGATATTGTCGGATGCATTGTTGTGGTAAACCAGATGCGTTGCTTTGCCTCGACAGCTGTGATGGTATACCGTGCTCCAAGTCAGACGACTGCGATGATGATGGTTGCTGTAACAGTGGCAAATGTACCAACAGTGGATGCAAGACGCCGTGGTATGTCATTGCCACACCAGTTCTAGTGATTGTCCTGGCAGTTTGCATTTTTGTTGCGTGTCGAATATGGTGCGTGAAAAATCGTCGAGTTTCACACGCATGCGGTATGATATATAATATGTATTCAGTACACCCGTCTTCAAAACTACGCAACAAGGCTGAGAGTAGCTAAAGTTAGCATTATCGGGAATTGCTTTTTCCCAACACTAAAATATCACTCACAGAGTTTCGTTTTATATAGTTTTTTATTCGCGGTTACGTATCACTCCTCTCTCTCTCGCTTCTCTCGCACACTATCACTCCTTTTTACACTCTCATACTTATCTTATCAATCATCCGTATTTTATCTTGATCTCATTACTGCATATTTCTCAATGCCCTGCTATATATAAATGTTCAACAATTAAAAGTTCAAATTCGATTACTTAATATATAATGTCTATCAACTAATTAATGAAAACCTAACAACTTTCCAACACCCTCCCCCTATTTGCTACACGAAGTGTGCAAATATAATTAAATGTCTTAACAAAACGAGTTATAATAATGTTAAATGTAAAAAAAAACCTGTTCTTCAAGTTCAGACAAGTTACCATATTCATGATACAACAGTTTTTTCACTGATCCTCTTCATTTTCTGCGATGTCTTGCAATCGCATCGTTGCAGCTGCAGCAGCATCTCGCTTCGGTCTGAATGCTTGAGCATTTGGGTCAAGATCTTGTGTGTTCTTCTTGGGCTTGCTCACGTCACACGAGAGTTCTAACGGGTAAAGATGCTGCACGGCACGTTCGAGGTGACTTTTACCTGCTCGCAATTTCGCTACACGAACAACTCCGTCACGTCCTGCAATCAAATCCTCCACAATTCCTAATTTCCACTTGTTTCGGTTGCGTTCATCAGATTTTATGATCACCACATCACCTACTTTCAACGTAAATTTCTTGTTGTTGTGTTTAAGATTGTGCCTTTCTCGCAATCCTCTCACGTACTCGTTCGTCCACCTTCTCCACATCATATCTTTGCACTTTTCGATTCGTTTCGCGGTCTTTCTGAGATCTGCTTCTTCAATATCTCGGTAATTTTGTGTAGGGATTTGATTAGGTCGGTGGAACATTAGGGAATTGGGTGTCAGCACCGGTAATTGGAGGTCGTCCTCGACGTAGCTAAGGGGTCTGTTGTTCAACGCCACTTCGACATCGAGCAAAAGATCTTGTAGCGTATCCCAGGTGAGTAAAGTACTCCCACCTGCTTTGTAAAGTGCCTGTTTTACTAGGCCAACGATTCTCTCGAATTGACCACCCCACCATGGTGCTCTACTCGTGTTAAATTGCCACTTTATCTCGTACCTTGCGAGCCAGTCGTGCAGTCGTTCATCCTTCATTATTTGTTTGAGCCACTTTGCCGCTGCCACAAATGTCTTGCCATTATCGGAATAGATCTTCTGAGGGCGTCCTCGTCTGGCGATAAGACGTTTCAAACTTTGCAAGAACTCGTTTGTTTCTTGAGTTGCCAACAACTCCAAATACACTGCTCGGGTCAAGCTGCAAGCGTACAGTATGATGTATGCCTTTCCTTCACGTTTTGCTTTTGTCAAATACTTTATGGGACCAGCGTAATCAACCCCAACGACTTGGAACGCCGCACCGCCCTCGGTTCGATCTCTGGGAAGGTTTCCGGTTGGTGGGTTTGCTACTGCGACTGCCCGGAATCGTTTGCACGTATTACAATTCTTTGTCACTCGTTTGGCAATGCTCCTTAGACGGGGGGTCCAGTATTTCTCTCTATACTTTGCCATGGTCATTCCAACTCCCCCATGAGAGCTGAGCTTGTGGGCATGCGTGATGATCTTTTCGGTCAATAGCTCGTTATCTGGTAGGTAAACAGGATAGTGTCCTTGTATTCTACCCTGGCACTCGTAAATACCTTCGTCGTTTATTTTTAAGTTCAATTGTTGTTGATCTTCCTTGAATGCTTTCGTTTCCTCGTTACGTTGTTGAACTTTTTTCACCAAAAGTTTGGCTTGTCGACTTGTCTCCTCGGTTGTTAAAGGCCCAATCACTTTGTGTTCGCCACCGTTTCTTGCGTTGTTCGCGAAACGACTCATTCTCGCTGTTATTCGTATCGCTTTCCAATAGTCGTACTTCTGTAAGAGTTGATCTAACTCGTCTTCTACTGGAACTGCCACAGCGAATAACTCTTTCACTGCTGCTCTAGTTTCTGCTTGGGTCTCGCTGGTATCCTGGGTATTGATGTTTGGTGGCCATTTGTCTTGATCGAGCAACCAGGCAGGACCGTTCCACCAAAGGGCAGCTGATTTGCTTACGTCACCTCCTCGACTGCCAAGGTCTGCTGGATTATCGGCTGACGTCACGTGTCGCCATTCGATGTAACTCTTCTCCTGGATTCTTCTCACCCGGTTTCCCACGAACTGTTTGAACTCGCCGTTTCCACGGATCCAGTGTAACGCCACGGTACTGTCTAGCCATCCCACGACACGTTGGACAGGAAATCCTTCTAGAGACTCTTTGACATTGTGTACCAGGTTGGTTGCCATGTGCCCTGATACTAATTCAAGCCTTGGTATGGTAAGCCCTTTCTTTGCCAGGCGCGACTTCGCTGTTACAAGACTAC